CATCTGAAAAAAATACTTGAAAAAAATAAAAATTCTTTTTCAACACCTAGATCTAAAATGTGAATATTATCATTTCTTCAATGACATATGACATTTGCGTACCCTTATATCGTTCGTTTTTGTTAAGTTTTGTGATTTATGAATCATATTTCAAAAATATTATTTATGTTTTAGAGTCGGTAATACTACTTTTTATCATTTTGACTTCAAAACAAAATCCATATGTTTCTTTGTTTGGTATATCAAATAGTAAACAAAAAAAAATCATTTTAGACGGATGTCCCTCCCATGAAATGTATCATTTTGAATATGTGTTATTTGTATTTTGAAAATGTGCTTTCTGTTTCAGATTTTCCATGTGAGGATCAATTCTATTTAATTCGTGGTTGTTCCGTTATGTTAACACATGTCATTATTATATATATATATTAAGATTGTGAAAAATGTTAACAGTAAAGTGGCATATTTTTGGTCTCGGTCCTCCACTACTTACAACATTGACCATTCACATTTATGTTTTTGTTCACAAACAACCCTTTAACTTTGGTTTGAATTTTTCATAACTCTCGTCTTTTATTATATATTATTAGTATTTCTACTTACAAGATTGACCCTTCACCTTTATGCTTTTGTTCACAAACAACCTTTCACTTTGGTTTGAATTTTTCATAAACCTCGCATTTTATTACATATTATTAGTATTTAGTCATATTATATAATTATTATATATTATTATATATATATTAAAGTTGTGGAAGAAAGGAATAGTAAAGTTGGCATACTTTGTCCAGCTTTGGCCCCTTGATTTACATATTCGGTCCCTGTACTTTTTTAATTAATTTATTCATGTTCTTTTGTTTGTGTTCCATTCAACTTCCCATTTTTTTGGCAGAATTGGTCCCTATATTATTGTTGGAAGTTAGGAATACTAAATTTGGATGTTTTTTGACAACTTTGCTCATTATTCTTTACCCATTTTGACATTTTTGGTCCTTGCAATCAATATTTTTACACTTTTTTGGAATCTTTTAATATTTAAAGTTTGGCCACAAAACTTTAACGGTTTGACAACTTTGATCCCTTTTCTAAAAAGTTGCTAATTTCTACCCCTTTAATTCTTTAGCCATTTTCACACTTTTGGTCCTTGCAGTCAAAACTTTTACATTTTTTGTCCGGGGCAAAGCCCGGACTTTTCATCCTTGCACTTTCTATGTCTATCATATTTATCAATTCGGAAACAACATTGAAAGCTTCTGGCCCCCGCGTAGCGGGGGTAACCTTTCTAGTATATATTAAAGTGATGAAGAAAATAAATAGTAAACTTGTCATTTTTTTGGCAGAATTGGTCCCTGTATTATTATTGGGCTTCAAAGTTAGGAATAATAAATTTGGATGTTTTTTGACAACTTTGCTCCTCATTCTTTAACCATTTTGACACTTTTGGTCCTTGCAACCAATATTTTTACACTTTTTAGGACCCTTTTAATATTTAAAGTTTGGCCACAAAACTTTAACGGTTTGACAACTTTGATCCCTTTTCTAAAAAGTTGCAAATTCCTACCCCTTTAATTCTTTAGCCATTTTGACACTTCTGGTCCTTGCAGTCAAAACTTTTACATTTTTTCATAAAAACTGGATGTTTTTTAGCAACTTTGCTCTTCATTCTTTAACCATTTTGACACTTTTCGTCCTTACAATCAATATTTTTACACTTTTTAGGAACCTTTTAATCTTTAAAGTTTGGCCACAAAACTTTAACGGTTTGACAACTTTGATCCATTTTCTAAAAAGTTGTTAATTCCTACCCCTTTAATTCTTTAGCTATTTTGACACTTTTGTTCCTTGCAGTCAAAACTTTTACATTTTTTCATAAAAACATGAAAAAAACGGTCCGGGGCAAAGTTCGGGCTTTTCATCTTTGCACTTTCTACGTCTGTCATATTTATCGATTCGCAAACAACATTGAAAGCTTCTGACCCCCGCGTAGCGGGGGTAACCTTTCTAGTTAATAGTCAAAAAAATGAAAAGTCGCCAATTATCCATTCGTAAATGATTTTAAACTGAAAAGAGAAATTAAATGTTGAAAAGACAAGCTTACCCTCATAACACATGAAGAGGGTTAACATGACGAGGTAACAAATTGTTAGCCCGAAGGACCAAATTGCAATAAAACAAGGAAACAGGGACCAACAATACAACAAGTCAATCGTCTGGATTATAAATGCAACAATACAACAAGTCAATCGTCTGGATTATAAATGCAACTTTTTTGGGGAAATGGCACAAATACCCTACGAACATTCTAGGGTTTACCTCTCTAAAGTTTTTGTCGGGATTTATGGGTCTCTAAACTAGGATATGACTTGCTCTATTGGTCACTGTCAACCTGTAATAGCCGGTTCACCATGCGACAATGACCTTTTACACAAAAAAAACTCACATTGTGCTCCTATAAAGCCAAAAAAGTAAGTTCGGGGATCAATTCGTACAAAAAAAAACTCTCATTTTCTTCTAAAGCCGATCCACACTCAATTCGTATCATCCCAAGAAATAGATCGTTGCTCTTCTTTCCGTCTTCACCTTCAATCGTCACACACACTCACCGAAGATCACAACCCTCTTCCCATTCTAATCGATTCTCGATCACAACCCCCATCCACTATTTTCTTTGATTCGATTTCAGCTCTTCAAGGAATTGACCCCATCCTTCCTTCTTCTCTGTTCAAAATCGCACAAGCTACCTCTCTTCTCCCTCCGAGTTGTAGGTTTGATGGATGCGAGGTTGAGAAGGATGTGTGGGTTTGATGAGGTTCACAGAGAAAACGAGAGTTAATCTTTTTTGTCTTCAATTTGCAGGTGATTGGTTATAGTGGCTGACTGGTGGTTTTTGTGGGTTATGGGTGCTCCAATGGTGGCTTATTGATTCGATGGTGATTAAGGTTGATGAGCAGTTGTGGGTTATGGGTGCTCCAATGGTGACAAAGGGGAGGAATAAGGGTGTTTGGATTGAGCTGTTGTGATATTGATTCGATGGTGATTAAGGTGAGTTATGGTGGCTGTAATGGCCGAATAAAATGTTGATGAACAGTTGGTTCAGGAGAGTACGAATTGAGTGTGAATCGGCTTTAGAAGAAAAGAAGAGTTTTTTTGGTACGAATTGATCCCCGAACTTATTTTTTTGGCTTTATAGGGGCACAATGTGAGTTTTTTTGGTCTAAAAGGTCACTGAACCGACTATTACAAGTTGACAGAGACTAAAAGAGCAGATCGTATCCTAGTTTAGGGACCCATAAAGTCCGACAAAACTTTAGAGACTCAACGGGTAAACCGTAGAAAGTTCAGAGGGCATTTGTATCATTTTCCCCTTTAAATAATCCATACGAAAACATGTAACCAAAAAGTTTGGGGTAGATTTACCGTTATGAAATGAGAAATTAAATATTCTCTATATTTTATTCCTTCTTATCCTCTACCCATGTGAAATTGTGACATGTGGTATTTATTTATTTAATTATTTATTAAATAAGTAAAGCAGGATGATATTTAATTTCTCTTATGAAATTGACATAAGATTTTGGGTAAATTACACGGATGGTCCCTATGGTTTATGGTAATCTGCGTGTTTGGTCCCTAACAACTTTTTTTAACTCGGACCGTCCTTGTAGTTTGATTTTGTTGCGCCGTTGGTCCCTAAACGACTTAAAATGACCAATATACTCTTACCTATTATTTTAATTATTTTTTATTATTAACTTACTAAAAAGAAATTGACTAATATGTGTGGGTCCTACCCACCAAATCTTCTTCCCTTTCCCTCTGATATCTCTTTCGCTTTCTATCTGCAAGAACATCGCAGCAGCAAAAATGAGAATGGTATCCTCCACCACCAACACCAGCACCGGACCTGAAACCTCCGGCCTCCTTAACCCCCATTTTGGTTTTGCTGATAAAACATGAAGGTGAAAAAGATGGTGATGGTTCAAAGGTTTCTGGCGATCCAACGAAGGTCAAAGGTCATCCTTTCCCCCATTCCCCTCCTCTGCCGCCCTGTCACCACCAACCCCCTAACTTCATCTTCTCCATTTCATCTTTGACTCCAAATCACTCTAATGTAAAAAAGATGTCTCTTACCTACAATTTTCTTCTCCTATATAACTCCAAAGTTACTTTGATCAGTTATGTAGATCTGTGAACTCGACTCTTACCCAGTGTTCACGTGTAAATCAGTTATAGAGAAATTGATTTTTTCGTCGATGGATGTATGGAAGAAATAGATTTATTTGTTTGTATAAGAGGAAATGATCGAATGTCTTAAATCACGGAGGTCGCTGAGGCCGGAGGCAGATGCTTGATGACGGAGACCAGTGGCGGTATAAAGCACCGATTTCCTGTGAAACGGAACGTCGGAAAAGGAGGTGCTCCGACTAAGAGAGAGGGCAATAGGGACGATGGGGCAAGCGACAGTCGACTTGGTCGGGTCATCGTCGTGAATCACATTTTGCAAAAATATTTAGGGCACAAAGGGGGTAATTCTAGGGTCGGGGAGACGATGAAGCATGTGTACAGTGGAGAGGAGGAGAAAGGTATATTACTCAATGGTGAAATGGAGGTGGGAAGAAGGAAGCAGTCGACAATGAACCATATTCAAACGAGAGAGAGAGAGAGAGAGAGAGAGAGAGACAGAGACAGAGACAGAGAGAGAGAAGTAAAGGAATGGGTTTGTATGGTGGGACCGGATGAATTTTTTTATTATTAAATTACTCTATTTAAATAACATATAAATAATAAATAAATCTGAAAATAAAATCATAAGGGTAAAAGTGTATTTTTATGATTAGCAGGGACCAAATACGCAACAAATTACAGTTTAAGGGACCCTCCGAGTTAAAAAAAATTGTTAGGGACTAAATGCGCAGATTACCCCAAACCACAGGGACCATCCGTGTAATTTACCCTAAGATTTTATACAGGGAGTGCTTATCCATCATTCACAAAACCAATAAACATTCAAACTTTGAAGCTCTAGAGTTCCGGTGGGGCAAGCGACTGCAAAATCAAAAATGGAGAAGCGGATGGCTGCTGCTACTGCTTCTGCTTCTTATCGTCTACTCAACCAAAAGAAGCACACCTCTAAAAGATTTCTGGATAATCGCCGATTGGTCTCTAATTTCGGTGAACTTCACCGATCGTCTTCAAGTTCACGAGGTAAGGTATCGCTCTACAGTTACACTTGTAGAGTTATAGTTATGCGCCCCTCTTTTTCATGTCCTATGCTTATAATTATCCCAATTCACTTCGCAATTGACATGAAATAATGTTTTACATTCTCTTTTTAGGTCATACATCACAACTGTTGTTTATTGTTTGTAATATTTCTTGATGAGTTAGTAACCGGGATAATGAAAGTCCAAATGAAAAGGGTAAAGTGCGAATTATCTGACACTAATTCCACAGGTTTTATGCATCATTGTGGCACTGCGCCTCTCAAGAATTTTCTTGCACGTTTTCCATGGGATCTTCAGAAATCCTCCCTAATTCACATACAGAATATGTCTGGAATCCAGCACAGAACTTTTGGTTCAGCAACGTCCACCATAATTCAACGAAACCCCTTGTTTTCAACCATAAATCATGATGATATCATCTATTTTGAAAACAAATTAGGGGTGAAAAACGTAATTCAGGACGAAGAAGAACTACAAACAGCAAACACAGATTGGATGCATAAATACAAAGGCTCAAGTAAGCTTATGCTCCTACCTGAGAACACTGATCAGGTTTGTATTATCTTTCCTCTTTCCAAAGTTGTTTCTTATGCTGGTTTTAATCCCATATAGTAATCACTGTGGGTGTGTTTTCATGCAGTTATCTCAAATTCTTAAGTATTGCAATTCCAGATGTTTGGCAGTTGTTCCTCAAGGTGGAAACACAGGTCTTGTTGGAGGAAGTGTTCCTGTATTTGATGAGGTAACACTAACACTAACACCAACACTACGCTACTATCCCTTCATCTTAAATTTATTGTTTACTTTTGTTCTAGTTTTTGATTTACTGTATCAATTTCAGGTCATTATAAATACTCGGCGCATGAATAATATCATTTCCTTTGACGAGGTAGGGAGGTCAGTCTTCTTATATTACTAATCCAAAGGACTTTTTGGTCATTTTTATTAATATCAATATATACTAAAGTTGTACAATTTTGCAGGTGAGTGGTGTACTGGTATGTGAAGCAGGATGCATACTGGAAAATCTAATGTCTTTCCTAGACAAACAAGGGTAATAGTGTTTTAAAATTTATAATATTGTTAAAAATTATAATATTTATGTAAACATATTTAATTTAATTTTTGTTTCAGATTTATTATGCCATTAGATTTAGGTGCAAAAGGAAGCTGCCAGATTGGTGGAAATGTTTCAACTAATGCTGGTGGCTTACGCCTTGTACGTTATGGATCTCTTCATGGAACTGTTCTTGGTAAGCCTTTTTTTTTCTCATTTTATTTTATTCAAGTATTTAAATTTTTGGAATTAAACATTTATATAATTAAAAAAAATAATAATTTCAGGTCTTGAAGTTGTTTTGGCGAATGGTAATGTGATTGATATGCTTGGGACTTTGCGAAAAGACAACACTGGCTATGACCTAAAGCATTTATTTATCGGTATGACATAAAAATCAACTTTTATTTTATAAATATATATTAAAATATTTAGCTGATTTATTACTCATGTATGTATATGTATTTTCAGGAAGTGAAGGGTCTTTGGGTATTATAACAAAAGTTTCCATATTAACACCTCCAAAGCTGTCTTCTGTAAACATTGCTTTCCTTGCTTGTCAAGATTATATCAGTTGCCAGGTAAAACATTGTTTTTCTTTTTATTCTCTTAAAAAAAAAAAAAATCTTATATTCTTTTTTTTTTGTTTGTATTAGAAACTTCTATTCCAAGCTAAAAGACGACTTGGTGAAATATTATCTGCATTTGAGTTTCTTGATGCACAAGCAATGAATCTTGTTCTTGATCATTTAGACAGTGTCCGAAATCCATTACCATCTTCAATTTACAACTTCTATGTTCTTATCGAGACAACTGGCAGCAATGAATCTAATGACAAGTAACGTTTTTTCTATTTTACTTTACCTATTTATATATTTATATATATAATAAAATAATTATCTGATTTTTGTAGAGAGAAGGTTGAGGGTTTTCTTGTGGATGCAATGGAAAGTGGTTTAGTAAGTGATGGAGCCATAGCACAGGATTTGAATCAGGCATCATCCTTTTGGCAAATTCGTGAGGGAATTCCAGAAGCATTGCAGAAAGCTGGAGCTGTATATAAATATGATTTATCAATTCCTGTTGAGAAAATGTATGATCTTGTTGAAGAAATGAGGATACGTTTAGGTAAAACTCAAAAAAAAAAAAAATGATGAAAATGATGTGAATTTGTTATGATTTGCTGAATTTGGTTTTAAAAAGAAAAATAGGTGGTAAAGCAAATGTAGTGGGATATGGTCACCTTGGAGATGGAAACCTTCATTTGAATGTCTCGGCTCCACAGTATGATGATGCTGTAAGATTTGTGATTTTGATTTTTTTAAAATATAAAATTATATTTTGTTGTAATTGTTACAATAAAAAAATTTACAGATTTTGGGAGAAATTGAACCATTTGTGTATGAATGGACATCAAAGCAACGTGGGAGTATAAGTGCTGAACATGGATTAGGTCTTATGAAAGCTGAAAAGATTTACTATAGCAAGTCAACTGCAACTGTAAGTCTGGTTTTGTAAATATTAATTTCACTAAGTGTATTTATTACTTTTATAAATGTTGTCTAAAGACTATGATATGATAATTTGTTATGTAATTTGTAGGTAGAGCTGATGGCTTCTATGAAGAAGATGTTGGATCCTAATGGGATACTGAATCCTTACAAAGTTATCCCACAATCACTCCTATCCTGAATTCATCCTCCTAATATCAATCTTGTTAATTGTGGTACTACTTTTTAATTTTAATTAACAACAACTCTTTTGTAAATTACTTCATATTCAATAAATATAAAATAGTTCATATTGTTTGTGTAAGTTTTGTGTGGTAGACTTAGAGAAGGTAAGAGGGCATGAAGATACTGATTCAAGATGATTTTGAAGTTATTAATTTTCATCAAATTAATGATAGTTATTATTATGTCACACTTTATCACCAAAAAGCTACTTCATTATTTTTGACCTTTTAAAAATTTGTTTTTGATGTTTTCTAGGTAGGTTTTTTATTTGCTTAATGAAATACAGAAAAACTCATAGTATTACCTGAAATAATTATTTTTATTCTTGTTGAAAAAACGATTACAAAGTTTATAAAAAGGAAACGTAAACCAAAATGATTTAAATGGTCATAACTCATAAGTACAAGGAGGTAGTAGTTGGTGGGTGCACTTAACATTAAAGACAGGGCCGCCCCAAGGGCAGGGCGAGCTGGGCCACTGTCCAGGGCATCAACTCAACGGGAGCATCAGTTTTAGTCCATCTCTTATAAGTCTAAAAACTCATTTGGCCCAAATTTTAATACAAATAAAGGTCCAAGTCCACCAACAGGTATCACATCAAGCCATCAAGGATGAGGGCATCGCAACAGGGTGTGCGCACATGCATCTTGAAGGCGGCAAAATTTTCAGAAGACGAGGAGACTTCACGACCAATTTAGAAAATGAGAAGACGGACACTCACGCAATCAGATTCTCCCAGTCGTTTGAAACATTGAAATCTTGAATGTGGTGCAGTAAGCCGACACTGGTAAAAGAAATCAATTTATTTATCAGTTTATCAGACTTTGGTTTCCCATTTCTGGTTCTAAAATTTTATGATGTGTGCTTACTTAATTTTTTGAGTCTTTGTAAATTCTGATTCAGATATGGCTTCATGATTTCTGATTTTGTTTAGTGATTAGCTTCGTGAAATTGTAAATACCCCATATTTGGTTTCCAATTTGAGATTAAATTATTTGTATCTCTGATAACTCAAGGATGAGGACCATTGAGGCATTGGGGTATTTCAAAGTTTAGGTTTGGAGTAAATTTACATATTTGTAGATATCGATGTTAAATATTGATTCACAATTGTTTCTTTTGTACTCTATTTGTTGTTGATGCAATATTCCTTTTTTTCTTGATTATTGATTTTGTGTTAGACTAGCTTGAATACAATTTCTATTTTAATTTTTAGTTATTTTTTGAGTTGTGTTCATCATTCAACTTTTTGATAAAAACTATTTCTTTTTCAAGTATACTCCTCAACATTTGATGAGAAAGCTACATATCATTGTAGATGGAAATTGTGATATGGCAAGTTGTAACATGCATTTTAAAAACATCATAAAAAAAAGTTGGTCACCCCATGATGCAGGTACATCACCTTTTTGAGTAATATTTCACCATTTGAATTATTGTTCTTTCAATATTAGTATTTGTCTTGATTTTAAGAGTAGTTGCTTCAAATTGTTCAAGGTTTTATGATTTTGGAAAAAAGAAGTATAAACAGCTAATTACACACCAGAAAAGGAAAATTGGATTGAATAGAGATAATGAATCTTGATTTAGGATATTTGAGTATTGCTAGACTAGTTTTTATGGTGTAATTAGCATATGAGATATGTTACTTATGGTAGCACTTAGTTTTATAGATTTTGTATTAACAATGTTCTTTGTTGTGTTCAATTGCAGGTTATGTTGATGTATCAGACCCCATGGAAGTTCCAATTCTAATGAGTAATGAGATTGGATATGATGAAATTAATGGTTAGCAATTAGCAAAATAGAAATCTTGAATTACATTGTCCAGAACAATGAAATTGTTTAATGTTTTCAAGAAAACATAGTTGTAGTTGTTATTGATAAGAAAATAATAAATAAATAATGTAGTGCACTATGTTTAATAATATTATATAGTATGTGTTTCTTGAATTATATTGTACATATATAGGGTCATTTTTAATTAACATTGCTCTGGGCATGAAAAACCAATGGACTGACCCTGATCAAAGATGCATACATTTACTTTGATTTTGGGTTTGAACCCATTCCCATTAATGGTGATTTTGAACTTTTGTTGGTTGAAAGTGATACATTTGTAGTAATAAACTATGAGGAATGTGAAGTAAAACTCTCTCTCTCTCTCTCTCTCTCTCTATATATATATATATATATATATATATATATATATATATATATATATATATTTGTTGGTTGAAAGTGATACATTTGTAGTAATAAACTATGAGGAATGTGAAGTAAAACTATATATATATATATATATATATATATATATATATATATATATATATATATATATATGGTTAAAAGTGTATTTGGAGGTTTGAATTCATAAAAGAAAATGACATTTTTACCTTATTTTTTACATGTTTTCATAACACTAAAGTTCTATTAGATTTGTATATTCTTAAAAACCAATAATGTAAAATAAACAATTCAAACACCACAAATTGAAATATACCAGCAACCTGAGGGACTATTTATGTAATTACTCGTAAATAAAATTGAGCAGCCAGCCAGCCATCCATGTATCTGTCACAACTCAAAACTCACAACACCGCATCACCACCCTCACACATACAAAAGTCAATCTCTCTCTCTCTCTCTCTCCGGCATCACCACCGACTTTGTGGCTCGCTCTGCCGTTCACCACGGTCATGACCGGCTCTTCCACTTCTTCTCGCAAGGTGTTCTCTCCATCTCTCAACAGAGACGTATCTTAATTACGCGTTCCACTGACTTCGTCTCCTGAAAATTGAAGTATAATTGCGATCAGTTGTCAATTTGACTAAAATTTGATGTTGATTGATTAGGTTTTGAGCAAAATAGCTAGCAATAGACTTCAAAAGGAGCTGGTAGAGTGGCAGGTCAATCCTCCTTCTGGATTTATACACAAAGTCACCGACAATCTTCAGAGGTTATTAACTTTTCATTTCAATTATTTTCTAAGGTTTATCTATCCCAAAGTGTGATTTCCGATATTATTTCCTCGTGGTATACTAATAAAAGGGGATATAACTGTAAGTTTTGATTCAGGGTTCCACGACCATGTTAAAATTATCCACATATCCGCTGTCTAGTAATGATTTTCTTCTTACAATTCTCCATGAAATTTGTTAACAACTTTGATTTAAGGAAATTGTATGATCTTTTAATGTGAAATTACCTACCATTAATAATTACCTACAATCAATGTTATTCCTCCAGTCTATTACTTCCTTGGTCATATTGCAACCTCTGAGAATATGGAAATGGTTTGAACTTCCTTTCAGTTTGACAAAAGTAGGACTCTTGGTGAACCAAAACGATGGAAAATCTAACTTTCTTGCAATGATAATGATGAATCAACTACATAAATGGACAAAAAATGGCCATATGTAATTGTGTCCAAAGTTGGTGAAAACCCATGTGATGTGTTCCATCAAAGAAAAATCATGTTTTTTCAACATATGATATGTGAGAGTTATTGTTTTCAAATAACTATATCTGAAAAACCTAAAATCCCTCTTAGAACGAATCGACACAACCAACTATTTTGTAACTATTTAAACATTCAACATGAAAAGTTTTTATAAAGATATTTGGTATTTCTTGTTTAAAGGTGGGTGATTGAAGTGTATGGAGCTCAGGGGACAATTTATGCTGATGAAAAGTATCAACTCCAAAGTTGATTTTCCTGAGAATTATCCTATGGAAGCACCTCAGGTCAGTGTCTGAAATCTGAATTTATTAAGTAAATTATGTGTTTTACTTCCTTAGCTTAGCTTAAGCTTATGTTATGGTTTGTTTGGTGGAAGGATACAGGTGATATTTTTGCATCCAGCTCCTTTACACCCACACATCTATAGCAATGGCCATATTTGTTTAGGTAAGTAATTATTATTCATGTCCATGATGCCATTTTTGTTAATATTTTCTAACTGCTTGTAATGTTGAATTGTTTTGTAGATATTTTATATGACTCATGGTCACCAGCCATGACTGTTAGCTCTGTCTGTATCAGTATTCTCTCCATGCTTTCAAGTTCAACAGTCAAGGTTCGTTTTTCTTTTCTTCCAACATAGATAATAAAACAAACATTTTGTATTGTGTTTTAGTGATAACTGATAACACAAACACTTAACCTATGTATGGATGCAGGAAAGACCAGAAGATAATGATCGGTATGTTAGAAACTGTAGAAATGGTAGATCTCCTAAAGAAACAAGATGGTGGTTTCATGATGATAAAGTTTAATGAAATCTTAATGTCATGGATGTAGCTGTAAAGTGGTAATTATATTAATGCCTGTAAATGAAGCCAGGTGTCACATTTCTTGTTTTTTTTACTCGGTCAGAAAGAAAATCTTCTTCTTCTGGCTCTGGGCTGGCTGTTATTATGTAATTGATCAAACCTGTTTTAAAGGATGCTTTCATTATACACATTTTGTCAATCTATACCATGAGAAATACTGCATCGTTTATTTGTGGGAACAACAGATCAGATTTAGTTTGTTAATAGATAGTCTTTTAACTTTGATTATAATTTATACACAAGTGTTATGTTGGGTTGAGTAACGAAATTTCAGCTTTATGGTACATTTTTACTAACATTTCATAAAAGTTGGGCTTTGGGTTTGCTTATTTCGAATACACACACACGTGGGTGTGATGAGATTGGAAGACTAGTTAGGTTGCTTGCCCCCTTCCTTATATCTGAATGCTTATAATGAATGAATGATTCAAAAGGAAGTTTGTTCTTGACAGACAATAACAGCGATATCCAATTACATGTTCCTACATATACATTCCTTGAAAACTAAAAAAAAAAAATGATGAAGAAAGTAAGCGCATTGAATGAATTGTTGTTTTTATCCCAAAAGTGGTACCATAAAAGAAATACATGTGTGTCAGTCAGTTGTTTGCCCTTTCGCTTGTTGTCTTTGCAAGTTTTAGAACATGCAGAACGTTTTCATACACAATGAAAGTTATGGAAGCTGCAGGCAGGTTTTTCAAAAGGTTTGCTGTTATCCCTCTGTAAAAACCTCTTACGCCTTCTAACCTGCAGCAACCCACCCATAATTAATTTATAAAATTAAGATTTTTCAAAAAAGGAAAAGGATAAAGATAAAACTGACCGGGCAGTTTCCTTCACGGCATGCCAGCTGTCCATGTATCTTGGAACCCCATCCATGGGCCGTTGCTGCAAAAAGTCAAAATCATTTGTAAATAAATAAATAAAAACTTCATTGCTATATTTCGCTTCAAAATTCAAAATTTAATGATGCTATAAAACCTACCTGCAAGCGAGAACGAATGACCTGAAACGGATATGTCGCCAGGCTGGCAGCCAGTTTCGAGGAAGCTCCTAAAACTGCGTAATCAACTGTCGTCTGTCACAAAATTATTATCATTATTATCAAAATTTACTAATAAATCACCTAAATTAAATAATAATATCATGAATTATGAAATTACCAATGACTCGGGAGTGTAAGAACTCAAGCCTCTTTGTTTATCCCTAAAGTCGCGCAATTTCTTACGAAAACTTGCTAATAAATCAGCAGCAGTAGTAATGGAGGCCATTTGTTTATCCCTTCGATCAACCAAAAGCTTACGAAGCTCCTCATATGCTGTAAACTGAATAGCACCATGCGTCACCTGTATTTTTTTTTTTTTAATAATAATATTATTTTCTAATATTCAAAACCAACAATTATGTTCTAGTCTAACATTTTATTTGAACAACAGAGATAACAGTACCAAATCTAACCAGAAAAAGACCCGGTAAAAGCCCTTTGTACAACGCCCTCCATCCTTCATCTTTCAGTATTGTTTTCAAAGCATCTAAACAAGGAAACAACAAGAAACACAGTGAGGGTAATTTTGTCTTTTTAGTTATTAAAAAAGGAATGGAAGAATGGGAATTGAACATACCAGCTAAGCCAGTATATGCGCGGGTGTTTTGAGGAGTTTGAAGTTGTAATCGTGTTTTCACAAGCCAGATAGGATTCGTGAAAAGACATACCTGAAAAAGTAACAATAATATTAATAACAACCTACATATTAGATCTATGAAATGATATAATAAACCAAAAAAAAAAAAAAAAAAAAAGTGAAAGAAACTCACCAATCCTCCAGCTTCTGCAGCTGATGCAAGATGAATATGAACGGTTGTTTCCTGTTGATTTTTCAGGTACCTTTGTTTGGCTCTGTTATAGCTATTCAACAAAAGGGTATATAGGTCAAGAAGTTGGATATGCATGATTCTAAAATACCCTCAGGTTCAACAATATTCAATAAAAGAGAAACTAATACAACTCTCTAAGCATGGAAACGTATGCACTATGGTGCCCTATTATAAAACCTTCAATAGAATAATTAAGTATAGCTTAAGTACTGCAGGGCTCAATACTTCACTTACAAAAAGAAGTATAGACCCCATGAAATAGTTGAGCCTAGCACTGCAGGGCAAAAGCCAGAATAAAGCCCTCTGAGACCCTGAAAAAATGGTAACCATATAATTACTAGCATAAAAGACAACATTAAACAGAACATGTGAACAACTTCCAAAGGTGTCATGGGATATGTAATAAAATTCTAGTTGGAATGATGAATACAATATGTCAATAATCAATATCATATCTAGTTATAGGAGTAATTCAATTCAGTAATTACAGCAGCATAAATACTCAACAGGGCAACATAACGAGATGTTTATATTGGTAGGAGATTTTATGTTGAGTTAAATGATTCCAGACGTGAGTAGTTAAGCATATCTTGATAATACTAATAAAAAAATCAATGGAGTTGGATGTAGAACACTGCTTATGGTACTTGATCTGTTAGTACCAAATTAAATTAAATTAGAAGTTAAGCCGGGGTTGACTCGATCTGTATAAATGCTTATTAACATGAGAAATAATCATGTTAGCTATGGGGTCATCGGCACTAGAGATTAGAGAATGGACTTTCATACAAAGTAGTATGTAAAAACCAAACCCTATCGTACCAATCATACATCATGCTTCCTTCATATTGCTTTAATCTGTATCTGGAACTGAGACCAACAATAATTAAAAATCATTAAGTTCGCTTTTGAAACACTAAATTGTATCAAATCACCATATGCACGAAACAAGAACGCAATAGAATTATCAAATTCCTTTCCTAGTTGTAAGTTTACAATAAATGAGCTATAAAACGCCCGTTGCATGAACAGGAGAAATTGAAATTTAGCAACAACGAATAGTGTTGAATAAACGCACCTCTGATCGACCAATGGTGAAGAGAGCATGAGGAGTGTGCTTGTAGGTCGGAAGGTTAGGGTTCCGACCATCATTAACTGTTAAATCGAATGAAATCAACGAAAATATATATAGAGAATAAATTTGTTATTAGAGTATGAAACTAGACACGATCAATCTGAGTAAATCAACATTTACGCACCTTGGAATCTAGTCCGGACAACATCGAGCGGATGAGAAAACGTGACGGTAGCAAGACCGGCAACGGATCCCGCGGTGGCGTTCTCCCATCGCCAATCCGTCGACTGAGTCATAATTTAGTTTTGCCGACGACAGTTAGCGTTAGTAGTATGCAACTTTAGGTGTTTATGGAGGGAGAAGAAATGACAGTACGTAATGTTACACCGACCTGTTTGTTTGAAGAGCATACAAGATCCCGTCTATACGGATCCACTTTTGGTAATGGAATTTCAAATTTGAGTTGATAAAAAAAAAATGAGAAAACTGTGTAAAACGAAACGATTTTTATATTTATAGTAAATATTTATCTTAAAATAATTATATATTTATAATAGAATTCCATTGATTCCTAAAATAACATTTTAAGGTTTTTTGATAATGGTTAATTGAGTCAAAGCTTGTCTCATGCTAGCAAGAGGTACATCATATGTTATAGTAGTATCAAATTGTCATAATATTATTGATCTAAACCCACTCTCTTAATAAGAGACCCAATAAAAAACATATCAAACAAACCCAAAACATAATATTTTGCTAACTCGTGTTTATTTAGCAAATGATATAATTCAATATTTTTTTGATATGTAAATAAAATTCTGTATAGTAAAATTGGTTTCGGGTTATTTCTGGAAAAATTATGATACAAGAAAAAACAATTTTGCAAAATATATTTGGTCATTGTGATAAAAATATGTTGAAAAAATTGTTATTTTGTGTTATATTATTACATACTTACCTCTTTTGATCGTTTTTGGACCAACTCTTCAAATTTTGTACTTGGAGGTTTCATCACTTAAATTTCATTTGATTTTATTTATGTAAAAAATGTAATATACAACTTGTTTTCATGTTTTGCATGATATTTTACTTAAAACAAATTTTATTAAATAAAAACACAAAAACAAGCTTGAGGAGATCAATCGGGATTGTTTTTTCCAGGTGAGAAATGAAGACTATTTTACTAGCACATGCGATGATGATGCACAAATTGTTCAAAATCTGGATCACAACTCTCTGTTACAATTATTTTGTGATGAAAAATATTAAAAAGAGAAGGTAAATGATCTTCTAAAAAGCTTCAGTTCCTATGATACCAGTGTACCAAAACTTAAAAGCTTAAATGGTTGCTTTTTTGGCATAGAAATATGAATGAACACTTCTACAAAGAACATAAGTATGCGTATGAGGTTAAGAAACTCTGCCAAGATCTCCAAAGTTACCTGAATATGAGAAAAGGGCAAAAGATTATGATTTCTTGTTACTCATGCGAAAAAAAAAAAAAAGAAAAAAAAAAAAAAAAAAAAAAAAAGTAAAGAATGATTGCTAGTTATCAACATATAGATATAGATAGTAGCATTTGAGAAACCTGCTCTTTTTTCCCTATTAAGTGCTATCTGGATAAAGTGTTGTTTGGATAAAGGATTATTAATAATATTTGAGAAAATAATGGCACACTTGGGAAAATGGAAGGAAAAAATAAAATCAGGGAAAGTTTGTAAAAGGTTGGTATTTTATGGGGAAAGTCTCATATTTCCAAAAAAATTCTATTAAATTGTTCTTTCTGCATAAATTCAAAAAGATGCACTCATATATAACTTATCGGATTAAGGGGCTGTTTCTTTTTAACTTAAGTGGCTTAGTGGGTTAAGCATTTAATCTGGATTCAGCTATACATGGTTGTTTCTTTTTGACTTAATCTGGACACAATGACATAATGAGTTAAGACAAAAACCTGGCTTAACGTATCAAGACACTGATCCTTTGCCAATTTGCCATTCTTCTTTTTTCCTCTAAAACCTGGCTTAATGCATGGCTTAATGTATCAAGAAACTAATCCTTTGCTAATGGCCATTTTACATTATTTGTGTAAACCAAATTAAAGTAAATGTTATGGGGAAGTCGATTTTAGCTATGTCAAATATAAGTACATGTACATCATGAGTCGACTCCATTCAACCAAAATGAAATTAAACCAGTAGTATTGAACTAAACAGCGTGTACAGAAATAAAGTACATAAATTGAAAATAACTCTGATCTAAAACATGAAAAACCATATGTTCATGTGATTCAAAATCAAATAAACGAGTTGCAACTTAACATTTAATTCAGGATTAGTATCTTCAAAATGGAAGTTTAACTCAAAGGTTCAAAAACACTTCTGATATCTTAAACATCAGTTCAAGATCATACATATGAAAGAACAGGATATCAACTAATTAATCTGATACTCTAAAGGATTTCAAATACAATTACCTCATTCCATAATGACTTTAGCCCCAATTGCCTTCATTTTCTCAATAATCTTCTCAGCTTCCTCTTTTGGTACTCCTTTCTTCAACAAGGTAGGAGCTTTCTCCACTAATTCTTTAGCCTCCTTCAAACCCAGATCAGTAAATGTTCTCACTTCCTTAATGATCTTAATCTTCGACCCAGCATCAAATCCACCTTCAAGTTTCAAATCAAACGCTGTCTTCTCCGCCGCCTTCTCTTCCCCACCTTTCACCGCACCGCCGGCGCCTCCTTTCATTCCGGTCTTCAGCCCCATGCCGGGCATCATCACCGCCATTACCGGCATCTCATTTATACCCATTTTCTTCCTCATAACCTCAGTCAAGTCTGCGGATTCGAGCAACGTTAAATTCATTAGCTCGTTAACGATGTCCGAGACGCGACTGGACGGCGTTGAAGGGTTTGAATTTGATTGTTGTGGAGAAGCGCAGAATCCTCGGATGGTATGCAAATTGGTACATTGTGGGGGTTGAGATTCAATCAAAATGGAGCTTCGAAACCCTAATAAACGAAATTGGTGACGTGAGAGGGATTGGGAAAGTCGTTGGTAGCAGTATTTCTTCATGTTAATAGCCTTATTCTTGCGTGATCATGGAAAATATTGATGGCAAAAATGAAAAACCAGGAATGCAGGGTTTTAGACAAGATTTTACAGTCCGACGGCGATAGGTTTTCAAGATTTGCACCAGCAGGAGGTTTTAGGGAATATAAAAGTTATAGGGGCACTTTGTATTTCTGATAAAAAGCAGGGGGTCTCTGGTTACTTTTTGATCTCTTGTTTGTTATTATTTTTTTAAAGACCTTTATAGTTTTTATTTACATATAGTTGGATATTTTTAAAACATCTAAAATTATATAAACCGACTTATCTAAAACATGCCATTTGATTTAAAAAAAAAATAAATCAATTTGCAAAATTATAAAAGATTTTTTTTTGTTAAACACTGTTAGAAGCTTTCAAAAGTTGTGTCAAACACGCTTCTATTTTACTCCTAATATCACTATATCTCAAATGAAACTTGAACGGTTGAACCATCAACATCCCGCGTAATATTTATGTATGACATTTATAAGTTAATTTGTTTTTTGAGTTTATTGTAATGTAGTTTTTTAAAGAAAAATTGTTATATAATTTATTAATAATTTTTATAATATGTTCAAAATTTTCAATTTTTTTTTATAATTTTATGTTTTAATAAAACTTAGGCCCCGTTTGATACGCATCTTTCCAGATCCAAACAGATATTTCTGGCTGAATGGACCGGAAAGACTGTTTGATTTGCACAAAAGAAGGGGTCTTTCCCGGTAAGATATGTCTTTCCCAGAAAGCCCCAAAATCATATCTTTCTGGCTGAATGGGCTGGAAAGACAATTATACACCAAACCCCGCCTCTTTCTTTCTTTATTGGATTATTAATTTTTTTAAATTTATTTTTTATTGAATTATTACTTTTTTTCATCATTCAACACAATCAATCAGATGTACAATCAAACAACATGGTTTCTTTCCCAGTCAGAAAACTTTCCCAGACATTACTTTTCCAGACAGAAACTATCAAACATGATCTTAGTTTTTTTACAACTTTTTGAATCAATTTTGCCATTATTCACAATGCCGTTTTACATATTCGGTTTTTATAACTTAAAGATTTTTAATTTGTACAAATTAGTATTTTGTTTTCAAATTCATTTTCTAAATTACTTTATATATTTATTTTTAAGATTGTAAGATTATAAACATGTAAAAATCATTTTTTTTTATATATTCGATTTACAAATTTGTAAATATAAACTAGTAGTAATTATTTTTTGTAAATTTCTTTTTGTCAAAAACGTAATTTAAAAAAAAGGTATAAATCATAAAAAGGTCGTTTAAAAAAATACATATGAAGAAAAATAAGAGAATAATTAACTACAATTTTAAAGATCGACTACTTCTTGATGTAATAAATATATAAATTGATTTTTATAGATATTTGAGATAATTTTTTTTGACAAATTTGGTGTAAACTCTTTTATAATTATAACTTTAAATGTATTTTTATGTAATTTTATATTTTCAATCCAGTTATCAATAAATTTACTTGGGGATGAGTAAATGGACCAGCTAGACCAAACCAAAACAGACCGATCCTACATTATATGGTACGGTTTTCGATTACATCAAATAGCTTAATATTGTTCTCGGTTCTAGCAATTCTGATTCCACAGGACCAAATCGGTAAGGCCAAAATGACTTAGTGGGCTGAAAATGATTAAATGGGGTTGGTAGACCAGTTTGGAACCGAAAACCAACATCTACACCGGAACCACATCTTTTCATCTTTGTCTTCGGTTTATGTTCTAACTTGAAATGGTTAATGACTTATAAGACTAATAAACTTTATCTTCATTTAAGTTTGTTTGTATTCATATATTTAAGTTTTTTTTGTACACATGACCATTAAAAAGAAATTGTACACATTTTGTTACTTTAAGTTTTTATTTTATTTTATTTTATTATTTTTTTTTGTACACATATGAACATCTAGTCTAATGGTCATCTTTGAATAAAGAAAAAAGTTTAATAACGTCTAGTCTAATGGTCATCTTTGAATAAAGAAAAAAGTTTAATAGTTATTTGTGTACAAAAAATCAAGGTTAATTATCATGTGTGCGAAAAAAAAAATTAAACGTGTAAAAAATATATAAATGACTAAATATGTGCCACGTGATAAAGTTTATTATTCTTATAATTTATAAGTCATTAACCCAACTTGAAACCACATTTTTGTATTTAGTTTCTCTTTGTTAATTTTTTTTTCTAATCAAACCAATTTTTTATAAACTAAGAAAGAATACAATCTCAACAAACCTGGTTGCTTCTTTGATATGTAAACAACATAAAGCACTATAACTCTATAAGTTCAAACTCCATGAACAGGATCCCACATAGGATTATTCCCAAACAATATAAATGTAATTTTGTCACAACAAATACAGTCAAGAAACACGTGGATTCAATGGTTGTACTCTCGTGGGGAACACTAGAATCTGGTTGGAGGGCAAAATAGGAAAAAGAAATGCCTTCCATTGTATATCACCATGAATAGGCCAAAAGGGTAATTACGTCCCATATTTTCTCTCACTTGTTCTTGAAGATCCTGAAGCCACTTCAGTAGGCTCACGTGTCCATGAAGCTTGACTTGTAAAAACATCATTAGGATCATCCACCCGTAGGTACCCTGACCCTGACCCCCCTCCAACACCACTCACCTGATTTTTGAATTTTATTTTGTGTCAAAAATTATAAAACTTTTTTTTTTATGTATAAAAATATTCACTTACAGTCTCCAAACATGCAGATAAAATTGTCATGCCCGGCAACGCATCAATCCCATGCTGCATTTATCAACAAAAGTTTATAAATTTTCATCAGAAAAATAAACAAAATAATGTTTATATTTTTATAAAAGACGAAATTAGACACATATGATATATCCTACCTGTTTTTGTACTCGAGTCTTGTAAACAAAGCCACCACAGCAGAATAGTATTGAAATGACAACGAATCTGCTCCATTTACAATGTGTTTTGCATTAATAAAACTAAAAAAGTAATTTACCCTTTGAAATATGCAATTTATTAAAGGCTCTGTAAATAGAGATAATTAAATTAACATACACGCAGGAAAAAATTCCAAATAGAGCCCATCCTTTAGTAGAATCCCCTCCTTTATTTTGCTTAGATTCTGCAATGTTATGAAAAATCATGCATCAGATGATGCCATTATTTTTCATATTGAGGGGCATTTTAGACATTTTTTATTAATAGTCAAACACTTTGGTCAAACAGAAGGAAGATAAGAAATTGAGTATTACCGCACATTTTTGTAAGAGTAAACTGAATGGAATCATAACCCTCCACTGGGATAGTTATATGAACCTCATATGGATTCTCACTGGTTTTTTCACCTGAAATTTTATAAATTTAAAAAAAAATCGAGTCATGATGATATATAGAATAATAGATATATAAAATAATTGTACATCTCCAATCGATGTTCAACAATGTTGGAGACAAAGTTGTAGGTGGAGTCCCGGTTGCCCCTGAACCAGACAAAGTAACCTCCAAACCGGTTTCTGGAGAAACCTTAAAATTTACAAACAATTAAAAAATTAAATTAAAATAGAATCCAATCAATGGAAACAAAAGAAAGTGGGTAGATATGAGTATATATACCTTTATGGATGGTTTTTTTACTAAATGTGAAAGGGATGCAATTGCTGTCATATAGAGTGATACATAACTCTGGTCTGTATCAAACCTGCAATAAAATAAACAAAGGGTAAAATAGTAATTTTCTAGAAAAACATTAATTTAAGAACCAAAAAATGGAAGTACATCTTCTTCTCACACCTGTAATCCTTATAAGCCTTTTCGTAACCGATTTGAGTCATGCCATTGTAAACCTATGAGGAGTTAAGCAGTGAGTCAAGGGTAAAACAGTAATTTTCCAACATAATTTCAAATTACAGATGATTTATAAAATATTAAAATATAATATAATATCTTACAATTTCCCATGATCTTGAATGAAAACCCACTGTGAATCCTTCAAACACTCGTAAACCTGGTTTCTCACATGGAATTGCAAGTTCAACAATAATTCTGCATTCAAATATTAGAAATAATTTCAAAAAAAAAAATTATTAGCATGTAGAATTGAAAAAATCAGTGCCAATGAAAAACACAAGTTTTGCTAGAGAAAACCTGCAATCTGACTCAAGTGTCACATTGCATACACATTCAAGTCCACCTGAGAATTGGGTACAATTTTTTAATAAAAAAACATGCAAATATCTTTGGAACATTTAAAAAGCTTTATATTCAGAGAAAAATAAAAAAAGATCCAAAAAAACTCACATACCTTTGCAACGCCCATTTGGGCAATCACCACATATGATGTTTACTTGAGCTGTACGCCCCCTTTTGTCAAGACTTGCTTCACAGTGTTGAAGGTCACCATTATAAAATTCCTAATGCATAAAAACAACTATTATTAATCAAACATATTGAAGAACAAATTTTCATGAATGAGATATAAAGAATCTCAAATTCAGCTTACTTGAACAAAATCATAACGTCCTGAACCAGCAACAAAATAATTGAAGTCATCAAATCTGCCAAAAGCAACATACCCCTGCAGTAAGCTCACACATTTACAATTTTGCCATCATGCTGATAATAAGTATAATACATTTTAATCATTAAAGAAAGTATGATGAGTCACCGGTTGTGATCTTGTTTCCACATCTTTACAGAATCGAATTGCATAATCAGTACCCTAAATACAATGAAATCAAGATCAATATGTACAAAAGAAACTATCGCAAATTAGAACAACTAGAATGGGATCAAGATCAATATGTACTAAAGGAAATTACCACTCCATCATACTCAATAGGGTGTCCAAACCAGCTACTCTGTATAATATGTTAGAGAAAACAAACTTTTTTGTCACCAAGTAATACAGAATTTAATTCCAAATTGCAGTCACTTGAGGAGGATACAAAATCATGAATG